TCAGTTTCGAACCTGCAACCTAGAGATTATGAGTCTCAGACACTAACCACTCAGAAACGGACTATTAATAGCCACAACTAAACAAAAGAATAGATTCTAAGCAATTTCCAATGCTAGTGAAAATTCCAAATAAATGAACACTTTTATTTGCGAGTTAGGTTTAAAAAAAGAAGGTTCGTAATAATACACTACGCTGATCGCTAGTGTAAATAGTATTTTGTTGCCTACTCTTCAAGCAAAATTTGAGCTACGATTAAAAAAAAACTTGGAAGATGAGTTCATTAAGACTTGAACATGCCAGCCATATTCATTGAAAAATTCAGCAGATGACTTATTCCAGGAGCATTCAAATTAGAATTCGTAACTAAAATCTGAAACAATCTGATCACCGATGGATAACAATCGCCTGACAAATAATTACTGTTAGGCCTATAACAGCAGGGAACAACTACAACAGATATCATATAGTAAAAAGAGCAGCATTTTTCAAGGCTTTTCAGCAATTAAACTGTTATAACATAGTTATTGAAAAATATTAAACTGCATCTATTTCCTCTGCTATAAAATTTGCCATCAATTGAATTCAAGAAAATACATTTTAAATAGAAAATAGAACAGCACTGCAAATTTTAAATTCTAGATAAGCCACAAGCTTTCTATTTCCTCTGTTATAAAATTTGCCATCAATTGAATTCAAGAAAATACATTTTAAATAGAAAATAGAACAGCATGCAAATTTTAAATTCTAGATAAGCCACAAGCTTTCAAGGCACTCGACTTGATTCTTTGCATAAACTAGTTTTGAGTTTTTCATGTCAAATTCAGTCATCCGTGTTTCTTTTTTGCGTCCCGGTAACACTCTCGGTGGTAGCTGTGGACGTTGCGGTAGCACTGGCTGTTGTTGCCGGATGTCGATTAGGTGTCCGACTGGATGGTATGTTGTATTCAGTTCGGACAAAGTTAGCTAGCAGTCGGATTAGGGATGCATTTTCGTTCCTCACTTTTGTGTAGCTTTTCGACATGGTTTCGTATTCTGCCAGTTGCACCTCTAGTTGAGATACCCTGTCTATTAACTGCACTCGTTCCTAAAGAGCGAAAAAAAAACACCAATATTAGCAACTCTTCGACTTTGGTTCTTTTTCTTGTCAATCTATATTTAAAAGGATTTGAGAAAAACTATCACAGTAAATTCCCACTTGATTCGAGAAAAACGTTTTGAGCTCTATCCTCCAGGTATTGCTGAGCTGTAGATATCGTTTGAACACTGCCCTGCAAAAAATCTTCCCAGCGTTTATAAAAAGCAATGACTATAAAATTTTATCATTATTTTTATAACGCTTGCAAATCGCAAGCTTAATTACAACGAATGCCTTTAACCGATTTGATTTTTTAGACTGCACCGACCCCTGACCAGGAAAATCCGTAATGATAGCATGGTTGGGGATATGAGGATGAGCCAATGCCTTTCCAAAATAATATTCTTCTTAGTCGAGAAGATATAATCAAAACAGGTTGCTGCTGTTCCTTAACTTCCATTTTATTTGATTACTCAAATTTAAAAACTGAAGATTATTATCACTTGTTTTTCTCTCTGCACTTCGTCCCATTTGGAGGAACTCATGAAGACACTCAGCTCACTGTTCAGTCTCCTGATTTCCTCCTCCAGCTGTGAAACTTGCTAAAACAGGAAAATATATATTTGAAATTCCAAATTCCGCTTTTTTTTCCATTTCCTTGCGTTCATTACTCTTTTCCAACTGCCAGTTGGCTATGTTATTGACTTCAGCCTTACATTGTTGACTTACATGTTTGACCCTTTTTTGAAATTAACCCAATTTCAGAAAACAGGATCAATAGGTAAAACTTTTATTTCGCTGAGTTATCTGATAATTAAATTCCATCTTCGAAATTAGAAGTCGATCACGTTTTTCGTGCCCTTTTTGTTTTTGTCAGTCAATAGTGGACTTTGCTTTCCTTTTAACAAAAAAAATGAAGTGAATTTGAAAAGATATCAAAAGTCAAAACGCGAAAAATCAAAATTCAGCTTGAACAAATTTTCCTGAAAAAAAAATATCACCAAGACCTATATAAGAGTAATCACTACGTTCATTACAATGAACAAGAATAAAGAACACTCGTACTTTCAACTAGAATGAGACTAGAATGAACAACACTTGCACTTTCAACAATAAAGCAAGTTGCCTACAGTGCAAGAAAAGAAAAATCAAAGATGTGGCAACTAAACCCACGATCTTTGAGCAGACACCTGTTGAGCCGAAAAACAAATTGATTGTTTTTACATGGTTCACCTAACTAAAACAATTTAAAAACTTCAAGTCCACCTCCCTGACAATACAAAGAGCAACACTTGCACCTGCATAGAAAGTTGCTTACAGGACAAACAATTGTGATGTGAAAACTAAGCCGACAATGTTTTAGAAGAATGACGAAGTCCAACAATTCAATGATTTCCAAATTTTTTAAATTGCATATATACTGAAAAAACAAGGTCCTGCCGAGAGTCGGACCCCAGACTTTAGGTTACAAAGGCGACGGCGTTAACTCTAGGCCCAGTGGGAAGGAACCTGGAGGTTGTGAAGGTTCAATAAACAGTAAATTGAAAAAAAGTTAAACGTTTACGAAAAGTTGTTTACTGGAAAAAAGTATTGTTCTCGATTTCAAGATACTTGCTCTCGAAAATGTAATAATACCTGCTTTTGTCGAACAGGAATTTTTGCCCTCGAAACAATGCAATATAACTTCACTATGCCATAAAATATAAGCTGAAACCGTTTAATCGAAAAAAAAATATATTAAAAACAAAATTATTAAAAATCAGACTTGGTAAAATGACAAGTTGCAAACTTTCAACAGGAGTAAAAAAAATTCAAAATCAAAATAAAATCCAAGTTAAACAAAAAAAAACGAAAAAAATAGTACCAAATAAAACAAATTTCATTTTAAAAAAACGCGGAATGAACCGACGGAAACTACGCCGAAATTTTGAAGAAAATTATTTGAAAACCGGAAAAGGACTAGACCTAATTACTACCTACATGAAGGTAATTTAAGTTGGATTTTCAAGAATTTGAGCATAGCTGAATATTACCAATCCGACACATTCGACCATTGTGCTTTCAGTTAATTACGGGATAAAAGTTTAGTACCCGATTGCAATACCCTTGCTTATCGCAAGGGTAATCAAATCATCAAAACGTGAAGTTGAGTGAGAACAAAATTTAAGTGATAATTTGATCAATATTTTTTGTCTGATTACAAAAAGACCCGAACATACATATTTCGCTACTTTTTCAAAGTAAAAAAAAATAGACAGTCTGGATGTACCGGGCTAAGAATACTATTGAGCGAGCCTTCAATTCCACCTAACAGTCGTGATTGAAGATGAGCAACTGAAACAATCCAAATGCGAGGATAACCATGACCTCACAACAGTCATCCTCTAAGAAAAACCAGTTTCCTATATAATTTCAAAGAAATTTGTATTCAGCATTCTTGAACAAAACAGTTGAGCCGTAGAACCTTAACTTTATCAATTCCTGCTATCATGGACCTTTTGGCTGGCTCTCATTATCCAACTACCAAATCACGCCCAAAATTATTGTCCGCTTCGCGCAACTTACGCGAGCATTACAAAGATATTACAGAAATTAAAACACACAAACAAAAATATGGCCGATAACGCTACTGGGAAAAACTGAATGAGTAAAACTTTGAGTTTACATAGTTTTTCAATATACGCACCCAAATTATGGGTCTGCATAATTTCTAAGTGACGCAAGCCAATGACGCATTAGCAGTACCAGACAACTTGAAAAAAAAATTACCAACTAGCATGCCTCATTGTATAGAGCGGACGCATTTTAACTAGTAGACGAAAAAGTTCATTAAAAACATCCGACCCTGCCCCAAATCGAACCCTCTTATTTTGGTGCGGGTCTCCTTTCCTACCTCTACGCTACAAATCTATGTTAACTTGAAGCTTAAGTGCTATTTATAATATAATAGTCTGTGTTACTATCCTTAGCATAGGCTATACTTAATAGCTGGTTATTGATCTTATGCACATACTGCAATAAATGAACACTTTCAAAATGAACTCTAATATTTGCGACTTCGGTTGGAAAAAAGAGAGTTCATACTATCACACAACCTTTGCTTGTGTAATGAGAGTCTTTCTTCCATTAAGCCAAAAAATGCGAAATATTCCCATTGCAGCGCTCAGTTGTCAGCTACACAAACTTTGCTCGATTTTAAATCGGGCTTTTGTATAACTAAAAGGTCTTCCAAACCCTATTTTTTGCAGAACTTCATTAAAAAAAAGTAGCTGAAACCGGATAGGAAAAAAGACTCAGAAGCTCAAAATTATGCCCATGTAGAGCATCCCGAGTCACTTCTTTGAGACGCTTTGAATGAAAATAGCTGATAAAAAAGCCACTAACTTGATGACAATTAGGACAGGGTGGTTTGTTGGCCGATCTGTGCGCGTAGCCTACTCTGTCCAGACTATTCGTAGCATAGTGGTCCGTCTGGTCGATCGGATAAGACCCCATGTGAACACTGCTTATCGTACTGTTGTCTGAACTGCTTCCCACGTGACTTCTCAATCTGTCGCACATTTGCAACTCAAGATTTATTTCAAAAATATCTAAGGAAAAGCTTTTCAAAAAAAGAGTAACTTTGGTCCAAAATGCCTATTTTTAGATGTATAAACGACGCTTTTACTGGTTAACGAAGTTTTCTTAACTTTTATGTTATTTTTTGTAATTCTGTTTTATTCAAAAATTTCAGCTGATGATAGTTAAATAATTTTTAAATTCAGAATTTCATTAACTCAAGGAAATGCTCTAACCTGTCGAATCGTCGCAAACTATTTGATTTGAACAAAGACGATGCCGACGGCGTACTGATCAATGTACTATGTCGACTTTCATTCGAAACGTCTTCTCGATTTGAATTTGATGCGACGTCATTTTTGTTCACTATATTGTTGTTTTCGAGGTATGATGAATTACGCGTGAAGAATGATCCGGTCACTCCGCCGAATGGCCGTACAGGCGTCGTTGCTTCCTAAAAAAGGACATCTCTAGTTCAACTGTTCTCATTGAAATAATTCTCATGATTGATATGTTAAACTCTCAATTAATAGAAGTGCATTAGAGGCTAGCAATTAAGGTCTTTCCAGTTATACAAAAAAAAATAATTTTCGAGCAGCTTAAGCAAATCTGATTTGCCTGAGAAACTTTGAGTAACTATAAAAACATTTTAAGCTCAATTGTATAGCTTAAAGCCGAAGTCAAATTTAGAGGTATACTGCATAAAATTTGTATTTACAAAACAGCCAACAAAAAGTTGGAAAAAAGTCAATAAACGCATTTAAACAGAAAAAATGCCCCTTAAGCTTTTTAACTTTCTAGAACAATGTATTATCGACACTTTTTTTGATACTATTGATCCAATTTAAGAAAACTGGATCAGTAGGTAATTTTTCTTATTTCGCTGGAAAATCTGGAAACTAAATTCCACTTTCGAAACTAGAAGTCAATTTTTTCGACACCTTTACACTTTCGCTGTTCCGTAAGGGAGTTTGCCTTCGTTTCAACATATAAAATGAACTGAACATAGAAAGAAATCAGAAGTCAAGCCGCGAAAAAAAAATTTGAGCCTGAACAAACTTTAAGACTTCTAAAAAAAACGAAAAAAACAGCAACTATATCTGAGTCTGAAGTACGTTCACCGAGTCTCAAACAATTTATGATTAACACTTTTTGGATAAAATTTTGAAAAAAAAACTGGATCAAAAACTAAAATGTTTTATTCCGCTGAAAAATCTGAAAATTCAAATCCATTTTTGAAATCAGAAGCCGATCCGTTTTTCGCGACCTTTACATTTTTGCTGTTCGATAATGCAGTTTTCCTTCCTTTTAAACAAAGTAAATGAACTGAACCTAAGATAAATAAAAAGTCAAACCTCGAAACATCAAAGATGAGCGTGAACAAACTTAAAGACTTTTCGTTTAAAAAAAATTATGACGACCTATATGAGAGTCTTCACTTCCTTCATCACATCTTAAGCCCAATCGGTTGTTGTGGATATCGTAATGCACTCTTATTTAAACTTTATCCCCATTTCGACGAGGTTTAAAAAAAGTTGCCAACTTACGCTTATTGAGCTCACGGAAATTGACAAAATAGACTGATTATTCCATCAATTTTTTTGTTTAACTTTAAAAACCCACGCAAAACACTACCTCAACTTAGCACTTTATGAATATCAAAACATCCTTTGACGCATTTCAGATATAATCGACTTTTTATCGCAAACTTTTTTTATTCCGTGGAAAATTTAAATAATCTTTTAGCAGTTGCACCCTAACCCCTTCATACCTGCCATTTGCACTATTGCTATTGGAGAGCGTAACTTCCTTACCAATTAGCAAATAAGTTTCAAAGGAACTTAAACCGGGGCGGATTTAATTATAACTAACCCCTCGCAACCCAAAAGGTCCCCCTTTTTTGCTATTTCAAGATATCCATTTATGGCCAACCGACCCATTTTAAAAAAAAACGTTCGGCGCCAAAATATACTAAACTTTAAAGGTGAAGCACGCCAAAGTGCATTTTGGTCAAGACCTTCAAAAATATGCAAAAACGCCAGCGGTGAAATTTTGGCAATAAAGGATCTTCATACTGTTTTGCGATATCTCAGAAAATCAAATTGATCTAAGTTTTAAAAATCGACATCATTTTAGACCCTACCCCTCGAGAATATCTAGGTCCATCCTCATCTACTAAAATCAATATTAAAAACCAAATGGATAAACAATTTTAAGGCTTTTTCCTGATAAATGACCAAAATAAGAAAATTTACTCGGTTCAGTAACCATGAATCAAATATCATTTACAAAAATGAAGGATATTGAAGGCACCTTCATTGCTTATGAATAAATAAAAGACTATACCCACCGGAAATAGGTTTTTAAATTCCTGAGCACACATTAGTTATGGATTTACAATTCCAAGAAAAAAGGATTTAAAACGAGATGAGGTGATAGATTATGAAAACTAAAATGATTATAATATTTCAATTAGTAAGTTTAGTGAGTAAGTTGTTAGGTTAATATTATTCTGAATAGTTGTCGCAAGCAATTTCACCAGCACTTCAAATTTTCTACCAACTTACCAGAAAACACGCCATGACTACCGCTTCGCAAATATGGGGAAGACAATGTATATCACAGTATACCGTCTCCATAACTAACTGCTTAACTAACTAGCTGAAACTAAACTAAACATATTGATGGCACAGATTCAACAAAAGGCGACAAATTTTGAAATACAATCACCCGCAGACAACACATCATCAAAGAGTTGACGACAAAGGGTAAAACCATTATTAACATTTGCACTAAGACACTCAATTCTTACATCAGAAGAAAAAATGTGTTTCTATCAAAACTGTTGAATTAACGTAGCAAATAAAGTTTGATCCATTATTTATTATTGATTTCATGTATGTAGTATTGTCGAGGTCCGTCAATGCTGTCAACGAAGAAAGAACCAACTGATCAGAAGAATTCATGTACAATATCTAATCTATTAGTTAAATTCAAGATTATCATGCCCTTTGTTAATTAAATGCATTAGAGTCAAATCAAGTCACACCACTTAAAATCCAAGACAGTGGTTGCTTCTTCAAATTTCCGAGAAAACTCCAAAAACGACAAACGATCTTTGAAATATTTCAGCAACTATAAGCAGATTTATGAGCGCGTTATGTTCTTCTCTTCTTTCGACAACAAAAACCGCAGCCAATCAAATGAAAATAAGTCGATTAAAGCAAATTTCAGTTGTAACTTACTATAACGAATACAAACAAAATTTTTTGGTTCTAGTCTAAGGACTATTAATATTTTTAGTACTTGGTGTATGTGGAGTGATGTTTCGAAGTGGCGGGTCTATCTCTCAGACTAGATGTTCGCCCAAGATTCTTAGTATCCGTCGGAGGAGATCGGTATCCGGAGGCACCTCCGGTCAAAGGTCTGGATCCCGACATTACAACGGGGTGAGTGAACTGATACAGATGACTTCCACTTCCCGAGGTATTCATTGCATTTCCACTGCTTCCTGATTGATACATAGGCTGAAACGAGTTTTCAATCGACGGAGGCGAGAACTTATAACGAGCTGATCCTTCTTTGAAGTACGCGTCTAAAGATCGATCGCTGTAGCTTTTATGATAGGGTTCAGAGGGTAGACTATATCCTGGCTTCTCACTAAGAGATGAAACTGTGGGAGTGTATCTAACGTATCCTGATCTCAGAGGAATTGGAGGTGTTGCAGACGGATGGTGGTAGTGCATTCCTGCATCCCGTCTTTGCGAATAGTCTCCGCCCGCGCTGGTAGTGTAGCTCCTCGGAGGTAATGCAGGTGCTCTTTCCGAAGATGCTTTTACTGGTTCGTTGTAACTTGATTTTCTTTTCGGACCGCTTGAGTCAAATGGGATCGATCGCATCTCATAATAGTCCGACTTACTTTCGGTCGGAATAACTTTTGACACATAATCTATGTTAGAAGTTCCTTTGACTGACTTCGGGGTTTCGCTTCTATTATTCGATGACGAGTAGCCCCCGTGGTACTGAGATCCACCAGACGAGGAAGAATAACCTCCTGAACTTTTAGGTTGGCTAGCAATGAACGGAACCGCCACTGAAACATACTCCATCTGTTTCTTTCGTTGACCTACTGGCGGCGTCGACGACTTTGCTTGGGTGAACACCATTGGCTTATAAGGCTTCGGCATTGCAACTGCAGATTTGATTGATGAATCACGAGCGCCGCTGTCCTGGTATGGATAGCCACTTGAATCTTTGGACGATTGGTACTGCGAGGAACTTGTCAGAGGTAACTGAACATTTGCATAGTCAGAAGAAGTTCGATTTCCGGCATTATTTGCTTTATTGCCAGTGGACCCTATATTTACAGCCGCATAGTTTTTGTAGTTGTCCGAGACGTGAGTTGGTGTGAACGCTGACTTGTACTCAGTTTCGGTTGGTTTCAGTGATACCAGGGTCGGTGAATTGTCGTTACCTCTAGCTGCGATCTTCTGCACTTGTTGACTTTGAGATACGGTGTATGTAGTCGGATTAGTAGATGTAAGTGGTGCGTTAGTTGAAGAGTTAGTATAATTATAGAAATTAGAAGAAGAAGAGTTTAAGTTCACAGGAGCTGCCTGTGCTGAAGAAATAGAAGTTTGAGTTATATAATTTAGTGGGACATTTATTCCCCCTTGAATCTGTGAACTATTGGCGTAGGAGGTTCGGCTCTGGGCAGGAACCACCTGTGGTTGGGCCACATTGCGCGCGATAGCGTCATTCACATCACGAGAAGTGAGCCTAGCGTAGCGAGATGAGCGCTGGAACCCTACCTCTAGAGGTCCTGATTGCTGCTTCTGGTCCTGCTGGCTCTGGCTATTACTGCTTTCTTGTGATGACTGCATTCCTTGAGGAGTAGGAGAAGTCAGCGCTGGAGATGACGTCAAGAATTTGCTCTCGATGCGCTCTCGTTCCTCCTGGTAAAAATTGTATAGTGTTTCATTACCAGTCCGTTCATTGAGACACCTGTGAACGGACCTGTAGGTCCAATGGTGCTCTCTTAGGCAGTAAAATTGTTGTCATGGTTTGTAAATTTATTGACTACCCACAATGGAATTACCCGAAAACAGTTTATTATTATCATTACCATATCAACAGTTGGACAGAAGAATTAATTTCTCTTCTCTGAGAGTAATGACTAATTTTCGTACCTTTTTGTCTTCCCTGATGGGGTGATGATGTGGACTTGCTAAGGCACTTTCCAGATCAGCGGCAGATATTCCCTAAACAGTATTATTCAAAATCTTCTTTCATCACTCAGAGGCGAAGCAGAGCTTCGAACCACTTGCGATACACCACGAACATTAAAACATCAAGTCGAAATAATGAAAAAAAACAAGGACAGCAAAAACAAAATCTATATAAGGCAACTAAGCCGACAAAACTTGAGCAGACAAACGAAAATTTAACAATTCAATTTTAACCAGAAAGTTTTTAATTGCACACGCACTGAAAAAAAAGTCCGGTCGGGACTCGAGCCCCAAACCTTATGATGCAAAGGCGACCTCATTACATTTGGGAAGGAACATGGAAGTTATTAAGGTTCAATAATAAAGCAAACTGAAAATTGGTAAGAAAAGTTGTTTACGGGAAAATAATCTAGTTCCCGCTTACAAGAGACTTGGTCGCAATTTAGATCGCAAGTGTAATAACTGACTTACGCGCTTCGAACAACTCTTTCTTTTAACACAGTACTAATCACACAAAAGTTTTATTGCTCGGAAATAGTAAAACTGCAAACTGCTCATGGAAAATGCTTATTTACCAATCTTAAAGTTTTTCATAAGACCATTATACACTAAATTTGAAAGAGCTCAAGCCAAAAAAGGCAAAAGGCATTCTTTTAGTGTCTTAAAGTATCTTAAAACGTCGTCCTTTATCAATTTAGATTGACTAGTGGTCTCAAACAGTGACTTGCCTGAGTAGATCTGCGGGTGTTCCTTTCGAACCGAGCTCGCTGCTTACGAGTGATCTCTTTCTCCTCATTCTTCGGCAGCAAAATTGCACTGAAACAAAAACAAACACTAAATCATCACAGATTTATACTTCCCATAGATTTATACATTTACTATCAAAGGAATACGTTGAACCATGTTTACACAGCCGAAATTTAACATGTAAGATAACATCCACGTGACCTTACCCGATATCGACATTAAGAAGAAATAAGTGCCCTTCGCCAATCAGGTAGCGGTATCAATTCAAGTTTTACAATGCAAACAACCAACAGATAACCGTCAAAGCCAATTTTACTCCCAATTTAATTTTGAATACAATTTTGAATTACGACAATACGCGAGTTTCGAATAATTTGATAATCCAAAGTCTGACTTTTTAAAGGTCTATGATGATAACGATCAGTCAAATACTTTAAAAGTTGCCTCAAAACGAGTTGCCTCAAAGATCAAGCGCCGCTTTTTTAAATTCAATTAAAAGCGGACGCGTGTCGCTAGTCTTGGCTGCGTTATTAGATGGTTGTCAGCAGTTTTTGACCTTTGCATCTCTTAATGACGAATTGGCGGCAGTGTAAGCGACAGATAGGTGTTAACAACAGAGAAAGAGAAATGAATGAGCGGTTTAATTACTGGAAATTCTCACCTGCTTTCGGGACTTCTGTAAAATTCAGTTATTGGTTTTGAAATAAGATAAAAGCAAACGGGAATAATGTGATGACAAATAGCGATATAAAGGTATTTATCAAAGCATTGGTTACTAATACACCATTGCTTTTCCTTCGAAAGTTCGGTGCTAAAAAACGCGTAATTCAATTATTCAATTAAGTTGATGACTTTGAAAAAATATATTCGTCATTTTTGAAATAGAGGCAAAGTTGCATTTCACAAAAATTTCGAAATCAAATATTACTGAAAACAGACGCTTTAGTTGGATGATGACCTTTTGTTCACAAACTTGAAGTACATAGCTCACAAAAAGTGTCAATTAACTCAAGAAAACCACAAAAAATGACATTGGATTTTCAAAGAAAAGACACGACCCTGAAGCTCTTTGAACCTCCAGAATAGCTTATGATTAACACCATTGGGATGAAAACACCCAATTTGAAATAAATCTTCAAGAAAAAACATAGCCGACTGATAGTTGGAAATAGCAATGAACGCAAGAAAACTGGAAAAAAACTGACTTGTTTTTTTTTCATAAACCTTCAGCTTTTGAATTTCGAAGAAAAAATAGATGGCCTTAAAGATCTTTGAACTTGTAGGACAAATAATGACGGACAATTTTTCGTTAAAATTAACCCAATTTGAGAAAACTGGATCAATACGTAAAACTTAAATTTCGCTGTGAAATCTGATAATTAATTTACATTTTCGAAATCAGAAGTCGATCACGTTTTTCGTGACCTTTACACTTTTGCTGTTCGATAGTGGAGTTTGCCTTCTTTTTGACAACGGAAATGCACTGAACTTAAAAGAACCAGTCAAACCGCGAAAAATCAAAATTGAGCGTGAACAAATTTTAAGACTTTTCCTGAAAAAAAAAAGAAACAAAAAAAATCAGCGAAACCTTTACATGAATCTTCACTACGTTCATTACGCTCAAAAACTTCTACTTTCAAATTTCAACACAAAGGCGAAGCACGAGAAAAGGCAGCTCTATAAGGTGCAATAATAAAAAAAATAGAAATAAGCCTCCAATTAGCCAAAATTCGTCTACATCTGAGATTCGAACCTCCGACAGAGAGATTAAGAGTCTCGCAACTAACCACTAAGCCATGGAAGCTTAATAGGTACCATTAACCACTCAGTCACAAAAAGTAGCAAAAGTCTGCAATTTCCAATGCTACAGTGAAATTTCCAAATAAGTGAACAATTTTATTTGCGAGTTAGTTTAGAAAAAAAGGTTCGTAATAATACACTTAGCTGATCGCAAGTGTAAAAAACAAATGGCTTTAAAGCTCTTTGAATTTCAATAATAAATTATCAGACACTGTTTTAAAAAAATTAACCCATTTTGAAAGTCCACTTTCGAAACTAGTAGTCGACCACCACATCTCTTGTGACAATGACATTTTTACTTTTTCATAGTGGAGTTTGCCTTCTTTATAATAAAGGATATGAACGGATTTTAAAATCTCATAATTAACCAAAAAAACTCCAAAAAAATCCAGTTTGAGCTTAAAAATTTCGGACTTTATTCTAAAAAGCATAGCACAATTGGAAAAAAATCATAAACGCAAGGAAAGAAAAAAACACAGACGTGTTTTTTTTTAAAAAGACTTCAACTGTCAAAATTCAAGAAAAAAAACTTTTAAAGCTTTTTGAAATTCATGAGCAATTTATGGAAGTTTTGATTGTTAAATTATCACAAACCGCGAAAACTCAAAATTGAGCCTTAACCAAATTGAGGACTTTTCCTGTAAAAACAACACGTCCTATATGTGTCTTCCAAACTTGCACTTTAAAAGGTGCACCGTTTGTAGTTCGATTGTGTTCAAAATATTTTGATATAATGTCACTTCGACAAGTGGGTAAAAAAAGACAATGGCAGAGATGACTAGATTATAGACATTGCGAAAAGACAACGGAAAATGGACTCATTTGAAGGCTATTAACTTTTACAAGTTCAAGCAATGACAACTAGTTTAAAATGACAACTAGTTTAAAATGAAAATTAGTTTAAAATGACAACTACTTTAAAATGACACCTAGTTTAAAAAATCCAGTTTTTGAATTAGAAAAATTGCGGATTGTAAACGAACAAGCAACCACAGGACCTAAACAAAAATCGTTCATCAACACGCATCATTTTTTTTCATTTGCATCGAAAATGTTAAGACATTTTCAGAAAATTAATATCAAACACTCAACTCAGCTCCCAACTAAACAACAGGCTACTCAAATGGGACAGAGCAAAAAGCGACCTCGCTTTTTGGCGACCTAACTTTTGGTCCGAATTTTCTGCGCTGCAGTCTAATTTTGAAAAACGCTCAATAATGCAGTTGTTTTTAAGTCTTACTAAAAACGTTTCGTTTTTCACTTCCCCTAACAATTAGTATATATTGACGCCAAAGGCGCCTTCACAAAAATTTTTTAGGGTCTGCTGAAAACTAAAAAAAAATTAACAATGCTAAGATAATGTTCAGAGAAGCACAAACAATAAGGCTTCGTAAAAACTATGAAGCGTGCGAATTGCATGCGAGTGTTCGGCAAACTCAAACATATTAAGATTGTTATAAACAAATCAAATATTATAAGTACTAACTTGGGTGTCAGCTGCTCGCTTTCCAAGTCTTCCGCTGGTCTGATCGGAGGAGTCGTTCTGCAAAAAATAATGTCAGAATTATAAATTTAAGTTTAACTATACCTAGCTATCATTCTATCACGCTTCTTCCTGACGAGTACGGTTGAACATAAATACCTCGTACACAAAGCAAACTATTATTTGCAAAAACAGAGAAGTATAAAACTTATGAACAGTTTTCGGATTTAATTCCAACTATTTGAAAAATCTTCGCCTGAGCATTGCCAACTCAATTTTTGCAGGATTCAAATAGATAATCTGTATCATGAAGCAGATGTTTATACCATTTAAGTAATCCTTGGTTCTATCCACTCAGGGATACAAAGGTTTACAAAAATGTTTGTTTGTTTCTCGATTTTTTAGAAGTCCATTTAATGAAAAACATGCCATGAAGACAATTGAAATTAAATTACCATCAAAACAGAACTTACTTAGCAATAACAAAGCCGACAATACTTAAGCAAACACCCGTTGAGCTGAAAAACCAGTTGTTAACTACTGTTCACCCCGCCTACTCCCCCCTCCCCCGCCAAATATATATTTCTAAAAACCCAAAAACTGAACCTCTGAAATTATAGCAAATCGGAGTCGGTCAATTTACAACCAGCCTAAGCAACAAAATTCAAAACGCTCATAATAAGTATTTTGGTTGACGAAAGTATACGAAAGTTTCTTGCCTGGAAAAAATTCTATGTTCCGATTTGATAACGCTTGCTAGTCACAAGCGCAAGCATTGATGTCTGATAATATTTTGATAATGGCGCAGTGAAATTTTTTCTTCTGAATTTCTAAATTAATAACTTCTGGATTTAGGGAGCGTATTAAACGAGAAGACTTACTGTGAATCTCCTACTGATGGCAAGTTCTGATTGGCACTTTCTTCCTCTGATTTTCCATCATTGCCCTTCACTGCAATTGTCAACCCAGCATCATTATTTTCAGTTTTATCTTTACTAGACGCGCCCTTTTTAACCCTCCAAGACGCTGTTCGCTTTACACCACCTGTAATCAATGAGTCGCCAGGTGCTGCGATATTGGGTTCCCCTGAGTTCGAAGCTTGATTATCAACTTTGTTTCGGTTTTCTTCATTTTCACTTGTCGATTTTGAGTCGGCTGATGACACGCTTTCTTGGCTAAGTAAATTAAAATCAGTAAACGGTGGCTTCTTAGGCTTCTCGTCTATCTGTTTAATGACGTCAGGAGTCGAGTCGATTTTAGAGAAGTCGGGCCTCGTGATGACTGCTTCTTGTGTTTCAGTCTTGACTTCCTAAAATGATTTTCATAATAAAACAGCGTAGTTTGAAGTAGAACATGAAATTTCTCAGGAAGTTCGAAAAAACTCAATCAGTTCAAACTTGTCTTCGTAATCTTGAAAAACCTTTTAAGCGGATATTTCCAGCCATCGTTGCTCTATTTCTAACCCAAATTCGCAAAATTAAACTTTTTGATTTATTATAAAATGTTCTATGCAAAAAATGGTTTAACTGATTTTTAAAGTTTTAAGTTGATGCTGCTTCATGCAAAACAAGAACTAAATGATGTTATGTTTTACTTATCGTTTTATATTACTTTTTTAGAGTAAACCAGTGCCAAGTTTCTACCTGCATATCCGCACAAGTTCCCGATTCTAGCCTGAGTTTACCCTCCCATTTCTTCCAGTTTTAGAGAAATCAATTTTTCTTCAAAATTTTTTTAAAACGTGATGACAAATTTCCATTTTTGGTCTAGAATGTGAGCATTATGTGAGCCCAGAATGTCTAGGATGAGAGCCCATTATATCGATATTGATTGATTTCAACCGATTAGACTTTCAGTGAGTACTCAGAGTGCTTTTCGACTATCGACTCCCAAGTTATTCAATTTGATGATCTTCGGTATTTTTTCTAAATTTATAACCATAACTATGGATAAATAAATTCTATCTAACTATTGCAATTTGTATGCAATAAAAAGTAAAAATGTAAATTAATTACCTTTGGTTTGCGTGACACTGTCACTTTAGGCTGCAGCCGAGGCACCGGTTCTTCAGATTGCACTGCACGATTGAACGGCATCTGGAACTGCACGGAAGATCCCTTCATAGGCACGACATCAATCTTGTCGACTCTTCGTTTAACCTTTTCAGCCGACGACTTCGATTCTGGTTCTGCTGACGATGCAACTGAGGATTTCGATGACGTAGCTGATCTAATTGATGACTCACTTTCACTTCGGCCCGACTGTTCTAACTCTTTTACGATCTCGTCAAATGCCCCACTTTTGGTTTCCTCTCGTTTTGTTTCGTCTGCATTTGAAAGGTTTTCTTTGTCATCTGCCGGGAGTTTACGCGATGGTTCGGGCTCCCTAATTGAGGCTGTAAAAACTACAGTTTTTTTCAATTTGGAACGAAATCTATGGCAGAGAAACAAAGGCCATATAACAAAGCCTATATATCGAGACTAGCAGCTCAGAAAAAATATCGAAGCAATTGAGGTTTACAAGCTTGAGTCTAGTATCGTGTCAAGATTCCAAGTTTTGTCTGCTTGCCAGTGATGCCTATTTCATCATACTTTCAAACATATAATCTTGAAAAAAAAATACATTGAAAATTGAAACGTGTGCACTTACATGCGATTGAGCTAATCATGCTGCCGGTATCGTCATTGTCTCCTGCAGCAGTACTTTCTTCCACTTTGTTGGTTGTCGCTTCTCTAGTCGAGGATCCCGCTGCCACTTCTGCATCTTTGACCATCTCTTGTTTCACTGCTTCTGAACTTCCTTCGCTTGCACTTTTACCTTCAACGTAATTTCGGAGATATGTTAATGTACCTTTTTAATATAATCGGATTTTGTTTAATATACCCGCCTTAATGTAGAAGGGCGAAATATGATATAAAGTACAAAATTGCAAAAAAAAAGTTTTCATTCTTTCCTCGCATATACAGGTCACCGCCCCAAGCTTTTGGTGTCAAGTTTCCTTTTCAACTCCTTTTGATATAAATTCTATTTACAATTCGCGAAACTTTACCTCCAGTAGATACAATATGGAACCCAAGGTCATCTTCTGGAGGTGTAGCCGGAGTAGCAGGAATCGAGGGCAGGGGTTCCGAAGCCTGTTTCCTGATTTCGATCTTCTCTAACTCTTTGTCCTTGAGCTTGAAAGAACTCTCCTTGTCGACGATGCTACTTCGACAAACCGAGCTTCTAAAATCCACGTAAAATTTATTACCGAATTCTTTTTCAAATACGAAGATGGTGTATGACATTTTTTCTGATACAAGCTCTTCTACAATCATACTACCATGGAGTAGTTTTTCAAAAAGTAAACGTGAAATTCTTGGGTGATGTTATCATCAATTCAAAACAATCAATTATTTTTTTTACACGGAATTTATTCGATATCTAAACGGGAATTTAATTGGAAAAAAGTCCAAATCGAGAAAATATGTTTGAAAACAACGAATCCAACTATATCAATTATATGTTTTTTTTAAATATTCTGAGCCCTAGTGTGGTTATTATTTATGACTGAGCTGTTGGTTATAGATATACAGATCCAAAATCCAGCTCAGAAGCGAATTGCTCTTTTATTCAATCTACAAATACATGATATTAAATGATTTGGAAACAATTCGTTACAATTTGAGTTACCGATTCATTACTTTCATCTATAGACGCAAATTAAAGACACTGAATATGACCATTTCCTGGCGGGTGATTATGAACTTCGATGTTATTTTACATCTTTCACAGATTTAACAAATGAAAATACCTGTCTGCGCGGCTAGAGAAGAAAACCGAAATAAACTATAATTATAGCTCACAGAATTGAAAAAACCGTTAATGAATTGAGGGAGAAGAAACAAAACCAGGAGCGGATTTAGGGTGTGCGGGAGGGGAGTAAAGAGCCCAACTTTACTTCAAATCCTACTAACATAGCCAACTAACAGTTGGAAAAGAGTAATGAACGCAAAGAAACTGAAAAAAAAAAAAACTTAATTTTTCAAAAAATTTGAGGAAAAAATTAGATGGCCTTAAAGCTCTTTGAATTTGTAGAACAATTTATGATGGACCCGTTTTTGTTAAATTAACCCAATTTGAGAAAACTGGGTCAATAGGTAAAACTTTTATTTCGCTGGAAAATCTCATAATTAATTTCCCTTCTCGAAATTAGAAGTCGATCACGTTTTTTGTGACCCTTACAATTTTGCTGTTCGATATTGAAGTTTGCCTTCCTTTTAACAATAGAAAATTAAAAAAAAAACAGTGAGTCAAAACGCAAAAACCAAAATTGAGCGTGAACAAACTTTCAGACTTTTTCCTGAAAAAAAAATCAGCAAGACCTATATAAGAGTACTCAGTACGTTCATTTACTCTTGAAAACGGTTACAATTACACTAAGAGTAATCACCCTTAGTGCAGGCGTAACTGATGTCCTTTTAGCCTCTTATGATACCAAGCTGTTAGCCTATTATTCCTAAATGTTTTTGTCGTTTTATTGAGTACCAATCAGGTATATTGAGTATCAATACTCTAACGGGTATCAAAAAATTCTCATTTTCTACGAGTTTACCGAATGGGTTTCTTCTATACATTAGATCAGATTTTCTATCTATTTAAATCAAGGGTAAAAAAGATAAAAAGTCGAGCGATTGCATATCACTGAATTAAAGAATCAATGATTGCTTGGTTTTCGGCAGTTTTGACTTTTGAGTTCACCGCCACAATCAATCAATCATCAGCACATATGAATTCTCATCTGCACATAGTGTGTGTGTGTGGTGGGGGGGGGGGGGGGCGTCCGCGTCCTCTCCTTAGGAATTTGACCGCGTGGTGACCCAAATGGTCCCCTTTTGTACTATTTTGAGATATCCATTTTTGGCTGACTGACCTTAAAATTTTCGCCAATATATACTAATTTTGACTGGGGAGCATGCGCCGAAAATAACGCGATTTTTTGGTCAAAAATTAACAAAAAGTGCCTAAAAACGCTTTTTTGGCCTGCCTTTTAAAAAACTTGCCTGCGGCGTCAGAAAATGTGGTCAAAAAAAGTTCTTTCTAGGGGATTGGGAGAGCTCAGAAAATGAATTTGGTCGAATAAAAAAGTGACAAATATTTTTGAAAATCCGTACCCCCCATTCCTAGATCGGCGCCTGAACAAAACAACTGGTTTTTCTTACAAACTAACAATAGAAAACTCAAATTTGTTTACCGGGAAACACTGGCTCCCGATTACAAAACACTGGCTCTCGCTAAATTATGACCCCAAACTTAATTCTAAAAATTTGCAACATCCAAAATCCTTACAAAATAACCAATTCTACGTAATCGGATACATACCTGAATGAATGGAAAACATTCGATCACTTAGACAAAATTTTTAGCTGAGACTTTAAAATTATTTAATTCTAAATGAAAATATAGCCAACAAACAATTTGAAAAAAGTCGCAAGGAATTTGAACGCAAGGAAAATAGAAAAACCTCACCATACAAATTCTAAAGAAAAAATATACGAGTTCAAGCTCTTTGAATTACAAAAACAAACTATGATCGAAATTTTTTTGAAAAAATCAACCCAATTTCAGAAAACTAGATCTAAAGGCATTTTTTGATTCCTTTGGAAAATTAGAATCCTCTTTGGAAATCCATTAAAAAATCATCACAGCCTATTGAAGAGTCTTCACGACATTAAAACGCTTTATAAAGAATCTTTGATAAAGTTCGGCCTATAGATGACATGTTTTTAGCAACATAAAAAATACAATTGTTAACAAAGAGGCGAAGTTGCACTTCGCATACACAAGCAAAAATATGACCGACAACGCTACTGGGAAAAACTGAATGAGTAAAACTTTGAGGTACAAAACTTATTAAGCTCCAATTATTAGTCTACATAAGTGCTAAGGGACGCAAGCCAATTATGACGCATTAGCAGAACCAGTCAATTTGAAAAAAAAATTACCACTAACATGCCTCAATTTATAAATCGCTAAATTATGACCCCAAACTTAATTCTAAAAAATTGCAACATCCAAAATCCTTACAAAATAACCAATTTTACGTAATCGGATACATACCTGAATGAATGGAAAACATTCGAACACTTAGACAAAATTTTTAGCTGAGACTTTAAAATTATTAAATTCTAAATGAAAATATAGCCAACAAACAATTTGAAAAAAGTCGCAAGGAATTTGAACGCAAGGAAAATAGAAAAACCTCACCATACAAATTTTAAAGAAAAAATATACGAGTTAAAGCTCTTTGAATTACAAAAACAAACTATGATCAAAATTTTTTTGAAAAAATCAACCCAATTTCAGAAAACTAGATCTAAAGGCATTTTTTGATTCCTTTGGAAAATTAGAATCCTCTTTGGAAATCCATTAAAAAATTATCACAGCCTATTGAAGTCTTCGCGACATTAAAACGCTTTATAAAGAATCTTTGATAAAGTTCGGCCTATAGATGACATGTTTTTAGCAACATAAAAAATACAATTGTTAACAAAGAGGCGAAGTTGCACTTCGCATACACAAGCAAAAATATGACCGACAACGCTACTGGGAAAAACTGAATGAGTAAAACTTTGAGGTACAAAACTTATTAAGCTCCGATTATTAGTCTACATAAGTGCTAAGGGACGCAAGCCAATTATGACGCATTAGCAGAACCAGTCAATTTGAAAAAAAAATTACCACTAATATGCCTCAATTTATAAATCGGACGCATTTTAACTAGTACTAGCGTGCAACGCACCCCGGTACTCAATTTAACAACTCATAAGAAACCGCATATATTGAAAATAAGATCTGCATTCTTTGAGTGTACTCGGACAGCACCTAACTACATGGTTCGTAATTACAAATTTTGCAAAGTTTTTTATACAAATTTAGAAGAGCCATAAAATTTTGTGAAGTTTTATTTAAGTTCTTTGAAAAAATTTAAAATGAACTAAAAAACGTCACATCTGGGAATTAAAAGCAATTGAGCAGTCGCATTTGGACGCAAGATTTGCAATTCCAGAGAGTACTCTCATAGCACCCAACTACAACGTTGGGAAATTCAAACTTTGAGAAACTTCAACCTTAAGTTTTCTAAAAAAAAGGTATTTTTTGAAAACCAGAAAAGAAGTTAAATCTCGAAAACTACCGAGATTTGGGCAGGCTTAATTGTAGGCAATATTCGCAACCTTTGACAGTACTCTGACAGCACATAACTACAGGGTTGGGAATTTCACTGTTGTGAAATATTTTGTCATTTGAGTTTTCTGAAAATTTCCGTATCTCTTAAAACTAAAAAAAACTAGGGTATTCTTAATTGGAGACCAAAGTTGCAACCCCCGAGATTACTCTGCCAGTCCCCAACTGCAGGCTCGAAATTTCAAGTTTTGAAGAAGAAAAATTAACTTAATTTTCATGAAAATTTTTGAGAAAATCCTAAAAACCGTCACATTTCGAAAACTACAAAGATTTGAGCAGCCATATTCAGAGGCAAAACTTGCAACTTCTGAGAGTACCCTCACAAAATCCAACAACAGGATTGAGATCTTTGTAGCATTGTAATTTTTTAACATCTAAATTTTTTTGAAAATTTTCGAAAAAAAATCATACGAAAAAACGTCGTATCTGGAAAACTACAACGATTTGAGCAGCCATACTCACAGGCAAGATTCGCAACCCCTGAGAGTTCCCTCTACAATTTCCAACAACAGGATTGACATTTTAAAAGATTTGGAACTTTTTTAAATCTTAAGTTTTTTTTTGAAAATTTTTGAAAAATCATTTTAATAATTATCTAGAAAACTACAAGGATTTGAACAGTAATATTTGGAGCCAAACTTTGCAACTTCTGAGAGTACCCTTACAAAATCCAACAACAGGATTGAGATCTTCGAAGCATTGTAATTTTTTAACATCTAAGTTTTTTTTGGAAATTTTCGAAAAAAAATCATACGAAAAAACGTCGTATCTGGAAAAACTACAACGATTTGAGCAGCCATACTCACAGGCAAGATTCGCAACCTCTGAGAGTACCCTCTACAATTTCCAACAATAGGATTGACATTTTAAAAGATTTGGAATTTTTTTAAATCTTAAGTTTTTTTTTGAAAATTTTTGAAAAATCATTTTAATAAATATCTAGAAAACTACAAGGATTTGAACAGTAATATTTGGAGGCAAACTTTGCAACTTCTGAGAGT